ATGAGATCAGCCACATAGTTCAAACTAATAGACTAGGCTCAGTCCGATTATTAGGACAAAGGAATTCAGGTAGAGCTACAATGATTGATTGTGTTAAGTTAGATAACCTAGAAAAAAGCACACCACAGGATGGAAAAGCATGAAAGTATTAAAAAGTAATATATGGTTAGGTGGAAAGAGAGAGACAGAGGTTAGTCATCAAATCAACACCAGCAATGTACATTTAAAATGACGTAACGTCTAGACTGGTAATATGAAACATTGCAGTGAATAACAAGGGAAGAGGGTGAATTCACCACAGTACACTGACGGGAATATGAACGCTAAATTGTGATTGAGACGTTATCCAGTTATTGTTATTCTGTTATTGTGTGTGCTGTGTCAAAATACCGGCCTTATATGGAATGCCTAAGTTCCAGACATACATTAACTAATGAATATTTTTTTCTTTACGTTCCCAGTGGAAAATACGCCTTTAAGCTAGAGCTTCGAAGTTTCGGTAGCAGTGGTGATTATTTTTACAGGATGGGGTTGTTAGCCTCATGCCACACCTTCCCTCTTTATCAGTCTGATTACTGTCTTAGTGAGGTAAAAGAGTGCGTCGGTGGTTGGGGATTGAACCCTGAACCACTTTTGGCGTGGTTAGCGGGCATCCTATCGCTGTTCCACTGACGCACAACTAATGAGTTTACTAATAGTTATTTAATTCAATTTAGATTTTCCCATCGACTGATTGGATCGAAGTGCTCGATCTCAGGTTGACATGTCGATTCCTTGTACATATGCTTCGACAATGTCTGGTCGTGTAACCTGAAGTCAATCGGTCAATGGTGACTAGAAGTGTAACTCCATCTATAATTAAAATTAAATGATTAATAAGACCCGTTGCACAAGAGGTGGCGGTTCTCATGGCCTAAGTGGTATAGCGGATAACGCTTTGACGTTTGAAACTATGGGCACTGGGTTCGAGCGTCGGCTGGGGTAACACCATCCTTCACTGGAGAACCCAGGTACAGCCACAAGGTAAAGGCTTCCAAGTACATATGCTGGATTCAGCTGCTAGTCACCATTCATCAACTGACATCAACTTACAGATAGTATTATTACTTAACAAGTCTTGAACGAAGTTTTTGCAGTTTGCAGAAGTTTAATCATTAGGCAGACAGATCAGCGTTAACGTCTGTCACTGCAGACAACTGAATGATTTGTATTCAAAATGCCTTTAAATCATGAATTCATTTGATAGACACCTATGACAGATGTAAAAACATGCAGGACGCCTGTTCAGTTAAATTCACGTATCATCGATCAAGTTTCTAGTTACGTCAAAGTTATTCAATAGTTCATCTGTTCATGGATGATTACGTATACCAAAAACCGAAGAAAAGTAAATGATAACACTTTGGTTTTCTTATGTGATAGGCATGTGAAGACTGAAGGTAAAGCGAAAATTTCATTTGTGGCAGAGTTCAAACTGTAAGCCTCTAGGTAGTATGAATAACATTGACTCGGTTAAACACAGTTAAAACTTCTTTAATCACTAGAAATGAATGCCAGATGAAACACACTTAAATATTCAGATTTCATGGTCATAGAGATTTTAGGTGTTGCATAACAGGGATTTGATCGATTTCAAAGGTAGATCAAGAATTCACAATGATGAGAGGACTGCTAAAGACAATATGGAATATTGGACAGCTGTTTCGTACTGTTGTGGCTCTCCTCAGCACATGTCACACCCATGAAATAAACGACAGGGATCGAATCTACGATCTTCCAGTTTCGAAGCAGGCTTACTGATCATTTAGATATTCGGACACAGTTGAATGACCCATAAATTCAGACTGCCGCCCGTTTTCAGTGAGCATTTACCCTACTGGTAATGATTTTTAATTAGAACTCCAGGTGGATTCATCCTAAATTCAGAATTAATTTGTTTTTTGATACCTACCCTTTTGAAAATTGTAATGTTCTTTACAAGTTCCTTATTTAGTTATTTTCTGAATGACCATATAAATTATGCTTGATTCTTTACAGGCATGACGATACACATACCACTTACACGAGTTTACAAGTGAGTAGTACAAACAGAAGAATGAACGAATATCTTGAATTCGTCAAATACTGCACACTCCACAATTTAATTAATTGATTAATTTTGAAGTATTAGGTTGCGGGGATCAGTTTGATTCATAGTTAAACTCCATCATGAGACAACATTGTTTACAACATTGTTTGACCCACAGACTACTGAACAGCTCTTCTGTATTATTTTGAAATTCTTCAACACAGGGTACACTCGTGACTCTACCACCAAGGGTCGTGTGCAGGGTTCTGAGTCTATGAGGTAGAGGACAAGTAAACTAAGCTATTTAAAACAACTAATTGCATTTATTGAAAATTTACTTTTACTGCGTTTTCTCCCTCAATGAGTCTAAGAGGACAGCGTCTTTCAGCTCTGTTGGCTTTAGGTGTACTGTGAGCCATCAGGTTCCTTTGGTTTTGTTTGAATTATTACTAGTTATCAATCGGTAACAGAGCAGAGCAAATTACCTGTTTCTGTCCGATATAATCTTGAGTGACAGACCGATTTTAAGCTATTAAGTCTACGGATAAAGTTTAAAAATTCTCCAGTATTTGCGGGCATTAAAATGGCTTTTTTCAGAGTATGAAAAATTCCCATGCAGTGTGTATTGAGAACATATAAGTTAACAAAATGGGATGCCAGAGTAACAGATTTATTTAGGGGTCTGTATATACAATAATAATTGACAACAAAGGCTAGAGTTGATTTTCAGATAGTACTAAAATCGGTAACAGTGCATGAGGAATTCGAATCTATGAAAAATTGCGAATAATCTTACGTAATCGAGAGATTCATTTGTTGTTTGGTGGGGATTTGATTAGTTTTAGGATTTCATCATGAGCTGACTTCGGCTAGAGGACCGTTAGAAAACTTGGGTGTCCTGAACAACAGTTCCATCCACCTAGTTTGGGACTCTTCGATAGTACGCACCCATCGGGATTCGAACCCAGGACCATCTTGTCACATGGTGATCCTGCACACCACTAAGCCACTGGGAATTAATCCAATGGCCCATGTATGAATTCCAACTTCTTCCAGTCCACGACGTAGCGCGATTACTAGCGAATGTCATCGCTGACGAGTATGTGTCTTCATACCCAACCGAGTAGACCCCAGTGGTCACGACTTCCCACTAGGACCCCGGTAACTATCGGTCTGAATACGGCCAGTCACTAGCTAGCATCTCACTGAAATTCAAGTGTTGGTCGGGTCCCAGTGGCTTAATGGTCTACAAGCTGGCCTTGTAGCAGGTAGGTCCTGGGTTCGAATCTGATTGGACGGGTACTGGTGAAGAGTCCCAGATCAGAACGAAACAGGTGTCCAGTACTCTTAGGTGGTTTTCCAACGGTCGTTTAACCTATGCCAGTTAATGATGTAATAGAAAGAGTTGATAACTAATCGCTTAACTGATGAGTAATCATTTAGAAATAGTTGATAGAAAGCAAGAAAACTAAAGATTGAAAACAGATTAAAAAAAAACAAAATGACCACACACAGCTTATCACACAACTCTTCAGGGAAATAAAAATTTTTACTAATTTTTTCCCTTATTAATTGATAAAGCTAACACTGCATGGAAAAGATGTAGGCGATATCCTATTGAACAGCTTGATCTTACTTTGAATATTATTTTGAAGGGTCGTTACTACTGCTGTCGAGTGATCAGAAGTAATCATATGCTCCAGAATTCAGATATCAACTATTCTGGGTTCTCCTTTTAACAACCACTATGGTAAGTATCCATGGATGCACCTAAATAATTTCTTACCGGTACAACCCATGTACTTGGTTTCACAAGAGCAAGTAAACTGATAAATGTACGTTGAGTTTGCTAACACCTGGAGCTTCTCTTTGACATTTTAGTGGTCTTAGTGTTAATTTCTGTTTTCCATAACAGCTGTGTTACAATAAACTCCATTTAGTATTTTTTTATTTATCGGCTTTTTGCTCAATTTTCGGATTTTATTTTTTCAACTGATTTACAATCCTGTCTCCTGTCGATTCTTCCCAAATGATTGTGCATCACTAAACTAACCAATTAACCGATTGCATAAGAGTTTCCACAATTTTTACACACTCTCATTACTCATACAATGACAAAAACCTCTGTCATTTGCTGTCATTTAGCACTATATATATATTCACGTGTAAGGTGGTTCACAGTGGAAGATTGAGTGAGGCGTTCGAAGTGAAGACAGGAATAAGACAAGCTGGCTGCCCACAGTTATCACCGATGATATTCTTAATTGCGGTGGAATAGATTATGCTCCGGACTGTGCACTGGGAGTGAGAAGACAGGAATACAGGAATGAGAAGACTCTAAAAGATATGGATTTCATGTGTTGATGATTTATGTTGAATGTCATACAAAGTAGAAGACTGGTAGGCGAAACCGACAAACCAGCTGAATAGGCTGATGGAGAAGATAGTACTCCAGGTGAAGATAGACAAGAAGGAAGTGATGAAGACAACCATCAACACCACAGCCACCAACAGTAGCAGCAACGACAACCAGAACCAATGACCATCAACGGGAGAGGTTTGACAGACGTCTCTCTCTCTTCTATCGCTTATCCGGCCAGGGAGCAGGGTTTCAACCACAGGCAGACGGAACGGATAAAGATGTAAAAGCCAGTTAGCCAGACGTAGTCGGAAAGGCGAGATACGCCTTTATCAACATGAAATCAGTTTGGAAATCTACTGCGCCGCACTCCGTAGCATAAAGAAGACGATTTGGACCTTCAACACAAATGTGAAGTCAGTTAATCAGTCACTGCTTCTATACGAGTCAGAAGCTTGCACTGCGCTCGCGTCACGTAAAGCATTTCCAACAAGCCACTGCAGACTTTTACCACCTCCTACTGTAACAACAGAAGACAAGGGCCAGGCAACAGATCGTTTTATTATGAAAATCAACACGTATTTATACATATTTCAGACAACATTATTATAGACAAGCGCAGTCATCTGATTGGTTGTTTAGGTAGACAAACGCAGGCTTCTGATTGGTTGTTTCGGGATTCCTTGACAAACAGAGTTCTCTATCTGCGAATCATATTTTGCCACGTTAACTTCGCTGTGATTGGTTGTTGACTCAGCCTTGTTCACGGCCCATATTAGTGACCTAGACCTTAACGTAGATTAGTGCCAACCAATCGGCTAGCAGCCTGCTCTCACCACACTCGTCCCCCCGTCAAATACGTGCGACTGAAGTCGACTTGATCTACTTGGTGCAGGCGTCATCGTTGGCTTGTCTCGCTGTATCCATTTCTGGAGCTCGCTGACGTTCACGCGCCTCTCATTGTTCGCCATTGCGACTGTGTCTGCGTAACCCCATTTCGAAGTGACCATATATGGTCCTTCCCACTTTGGAAACTGTTTGCCTGACCCTGTCGAACATTCGTCCATACTTCGGCCCACACCTTCATATGCTGCTTTCGCCCGACCTCCCAGCAGCGTCTCAAGTAGCAGCTCCATCGCTGACAGATCTTGAACGCCACTCAACTGCGCAGAAGCCTTGAAGTCCTGCCCGAAGATCCATATGTCTCCATCAAAAACTGCAGGGTATAGGCTTTTCATTTGTCGGTAGGCAGCGACACCAAATGTAACAACAGAAGACAAGGGCCAGGCAACAGATCGTTTTATTATGAAAATCAACACGTATTTATACATATTTCAGACAACATTATTATAGACAAGCGCAGTCATCTGATTGGTTGTTTAGGTAGACAAACGCAGGCTTCTGATTGGTTGTTTCGGGATTCCTTGACAAACAGAGTTCTCTATCTGCGAATCATATTTTGCCACGTTAACTTCGCTGTGATTGGTTGTTGACTCAGCCTTGTTCACGGCCCATATTAGTGACCTAGACCTTAACGTAGATTAGTGCCAACCAATCGGCTAGCAGCCTGCTCTCACCACACTACCACCTTTACTGGCTACCCCCATGCTGCAAATGAAGATGGATTGGGCACACGTTGAGGAGACCGTTGAATGACATCGCATTTAGTACATGTCACTGCTCGATTGGAGTCCGAGTGGGAAGCGAAGAATGGCTTGTCGGTGCGAGAGTGACAAGAAGAAGATGACAGACTATGGGGAATCATGGACCCCGTTGAAGAGGATAGCAGAGAGTAGAACAAAATTCACTTGTGTTGTTTAGACGGTATATTCCATTTGGAACACACTGGAACATTAAATAAATATAGATTCTCTAAATAACTGTGTAACTCTGAAGTGAATTTGCAAAAAGAGACCCCATTTTGTTGAATTACGTGTTTCTGAACTTGTGTTCTTATAGTTTATCAACCTCATCGTTTATCAAGCGATTTCAAAATTCCAAGTACTAATTCATTCATATCATAGACATGCAAAAATCACTGAAGGTCTCAAATAAACCTCGAAATACTTTTCCCACTTGAAAGAAGAAACTCGTCTTTTCAATTCCTCTGCAAACCAACATCAAAAAAGTAAGATCCAAGTTACCAGTCATGGTATTATTGGGGTATTTGCTTAAGCAGCTGTAATGACCGACTGACGCAGATAGATTTTCTTCAGAAACCTTGACACGAAATCGCAAGCTGGCAAAGAAATTATTTCAAAATCACTACGCAAATAGAAGAGGAAGAAGATGGCTTTTGTGGCTTAGTACATAACAGTTTTTGGGAATTTTAGACAATGTGGTCTAGTCTAAAGTCCTAATGGGAATACTACCCACCCCTCGAAATGTGAAATAGGTACACACAGCCGATGAGTCCTAGATAGGGCGAAACGCTACTAGCCGCTATCAGAAAAGAAGTTATATTGTCGATTAGACAAAAAGCTACACGCTTGAACTGTACTGAATTTTTCTTTAAATTAATGAGTGTATTTCATCTTGGCCAAATAAATCTGTCTGTATATTTCAGTAAGTATAAATCTTCTATTACGTAATAAATTATCACGATATATATTTTTGTCTGAAATAGGGCAGAAATGCTAGAGGGAGAGTGAGAGGAATTTATGCATGTTGTCTTTTTAGTGTCTGATAGCTTTTCTTACGTGTAGAATAGCCTGTTTTCTATAAAAGAAATAAGTGAAAGTTGTAAGTAGACAGGAAGTCGTTGAAGAAAAACAAAGAAGGGATATATATATATATATACGCAAAAATTTACATGTAGATAAAACAACTTATGTGTTACGAAATGAAGGCTTTTTAGTTTCTTCATGTTTCTTTGACGTAGTGAAGATCTTTCAAGTTCTTTCTTTTCTGATAACCATTGCCTGTGATGAATTGTCTCTGGAGGTGTTATCATCATCGACAGAGAAGCCGTGGGGAGCCGTGACCAGTAGGGTACAGCAGGTTGAAGATGAGGCAGTAACTCATCGAAGAAGACATTGCGAAGTGGCCGCGTTATGTCGTGAATTGGCAGAAGTTAGGATTCAAGGACCACTAGATCGGGTCCCAGTAGCTCAATGGTCTACGAGCTGGCTCGCCTTGTAACCAGAAGGTCCTGGGTTCGAACCCTGGTGGGTGCGCACTGATGAAGAGCCTCAAACTGGGGCGAGACAGCTGTCCAGTATTATCAGGTTTTCCAATGGTTCTCTAACTGTTGTCAGCTCATGATGAAATCCTCCATTCAATCAAATACACAACAGCATAAATGATAATGAATTAAATACTGTAGATAATGTCTAGAAGGATAAGTATGGATCTACATTCTATCCTCAGTGAATGATGATGTTTCCAATGAGGCTCGAACCCTGTACCAATCGTTTTATGTATCAAAGAGTGTTCCACTTCACCACCTGGGCTATGTGAGTCGCTGTTTGTGCAGCAGGTGTCAGTTACCTTTTAACAGTTTGAAGAAATCTGAGCATTGGGCGGTATATAATATTCATTATAGTAAAGCTTCCTTTCTATTTCCCAATGAATGAAAAACAAAACGTTGTTACTGCTTTTACTGACGTTTCTCTATTTAATGCTGCTGCTAATAGCTTCATCAAAGTAATAATATTAAACCAGGATTTACAAAATCTCAGCTTATATGTAACAACCTAATCGTCGTTCATCAGTACGGGGTAACTTTTGTGTTGTCTAGTTGGCCACTTGGTAAAGATAAAAAAACCAGGCGTAGATCGTTGGATTTGATAAGTGTGTAAAATTATAAAAGCAGTGTGTGTTTACATAGTGAAATTGCTTATCACATTAGTGTTGATTGTGTGATTTCATGGGGCCGAAAAGGGGGTGTCATAATCAGGTCAAATTCTGTTTTAGTCCATCATTATTTCTGTTCATCATATAGTTTGAATTCCATTTGATATGAAGTGCTTGTGATGAAGTGAGACGTTCTTTGTGATTTCTGAAATGCTCTTTCTGGATGATTATTTTAATACTGTCAAAATCAATTTTGTGGCCTGATTCTATGGTGTGTAGACCATCACGTATGGCTGATGATTTTCCAAGCTGTTTTTAGTTCAACTTTTGATTTCTTGATGGTCGAACAGAGTCGGCTCTACGGTGTTCATTTCTTCTGATTTTGATTTCTCTCTGGCGACGTTTGTCTGATGTATATCACACCCCATTCCAAGTAAGCGTTTTATTTTGTAGACACAATTAGATTGAGAATCCTTAGGGAATTGGTCTTTCACATGTACAAGGTTGCTTTGTAATGTATCTGATATTTTGAAGAGAACTCTGATGTTGGGCCTATTGACTACTCTTCTGATATCGTCTGATGTTTCTGATCTGTGTAAAATGACAACTCGTCGGTGTCCCTTATTATTACTGTTTACTTTAGTTATATGTTTCACGTTGACTGATTGGATTTTCCATTCTCTACAATTCATTTCTCGTCGGATTTCCAAACATCACCCTGTGTGGTTAAGTAAAGGACAAACAAAATCTATTCGTAGCGCTATTTTGTCTCATCTTGTGGATACAGAACACAAGATTGATATCAACGAGGCGGATTTCAAGCCAACAGATGTTAACTTCTAAATATTTCTGTAGATGGCCGTTGGGATTCCCATTAAGAAGCCTAATTTATGTGTCCAAAATAAGCTAGTTTGAATTTAATGAATGATAATAGCCTTATTCCAAAACAATACTTTCGATACAGAATGGAATTCTCAGCATTTTACTACAGTATTGCATCCAGTTAGTAAATTATCAATAAAATAAAATTCTATATAGATTAAGGGTAATCTCAGTTAGTTTGGACAACAAAATACTGACATGTAGGTAGCAAAGTCAAAATTAAACAGAGTGTTTGAAGGTGCTAGAAAAGTAGATGGTAGCATATTTACTGGCGTAAGCGGAAGAAAGAAACAAAGCTGCACATAACAGAAAGAAAACAGGGAGAGAGAGAGAGAGAAAAGGAAAAGAAAGAAAGAAAACGTTGTACCTATAAATGATGACGTGAGTTGGAAAGACGAGATCCAATTGTTCTACTGACCATTTATTAAGTTATAGGTATCACGCCTAATACTTTCTTCATCGCACATAACACGAGCTAAGTAGGGTATAGTTGAGTTTTTGGACTTTCTTGTGCGAGCATATAGTTTTGCATGATGAGATACAAGGGGAGAGTTGTGAATGAAGAGGGTGGTGAGAGTTAGATAGAATGGATTTAGCCCATTTTTCACATGAGTCCATATGCCTGTCAACCAGAATATTAACAAGCTGGTTAAGTGGCACGTTTCTTACCCTGTTGACAACCTTTAACATCCTGCGTAATAAGGTATAGTCTTTCTTCAGTAGCCAGCCCTGGAAAAACTAAAGGGGAACAATAGAGAATAGTAGGCAGAATACGGGAGTTAACAAATTATAGGAGCAAGGGTTGGGTTGGGTTATACCAGAATGTTTTATCTTCTTGATGTGGAAGGTAAGACAGGATATTTTCTTATAAATCATTAACATATGAGACGACCAGTAAGGAAGGATCAGCAGATAGAATGACGCCTAGGTGTATCTAATTTCCGACTTGGTTTCTATTTCAGTGCCATCTATGTTGCACACCTCGTGAGTGTTAACCAGTTTGTTTAGGTCAGATTTCTGCCTAAAGGTGAAATTAACTGTTTGGCATTTGGAGGGGTTTGAGGTGAGACCGTTTTCCTTGGACCATTGACTGACTTCTGATTAAAAGCCGTTTAGTTTAGTGCAGTCACTCTGACATTTGACAGGCAAAGATACAGTTAGGTCATCAGTATATTTGACAAAATTAATGTCACTTGAAGATGGTAGGTCGTGTAGAAAGAAAGAAAAGAGAAATGGGGAGAGTACAGCACCTTGGGGGACACCAGCTTCAGTGAGCACAGCAGAGGAGGATTCGCCTTTGTATACGGTATACTGCATTCTGTTTGAAAAGTAGGAATGCAACCAGTCAGTGACCCAGGACTCAGTTTGTGTCATGGAGAGCTTATTTAGCAAGTGACATCTAGGTACAGAGTCGAAAACAGAAGTGAAATCGAGAAACGTGCAGCGGGCATAATTGGCACCTTTATCTAGTGATGAGACGATACCGTTGTGTAAGACGGCTGCAGCGTCTAAAGTGCTCCTACCCTGTCTATAGGCAAATTGTTTGGGGTCTTCGAAGCTTTCAAGGGAGTGTTCGAGTTTAAGAAGTACTAGTTTTTCCATAGGCTTTAGAAACGGGGAAGTG